TTTTTTTTTTTTTTTTTTTTGCTTAAAAAAAAAGTGATTGGCCCAATGTCAACCAGCTAAAAAGACAGAGCCAAAACCTCAACCCAGGTCAGATTCCAAAGAATGTGACTGTGTCAGTGCCCAGGTTTCGTGTGAAGCATTTGGGGCCATAACAAGCACTCGGAAGTGATATGTTCTGATCGTTGAAGTGTGACCGGGAAATAGTCCAGCGTTGAATACAATGCTGGAGCCAAAGCTATTAAAAGTTGAACTGGCAAAGCTGGTGCAAAATGGTTTCATAAAAGACTGGAGGGACTCTAACTAGGTCAGTCTGAGAAAGACAGACCTACTAAGGTAGTGACAATACTTGGGGTGTCAGGTGAACATATTACTAGAAGAGTTGCTATGTGCTAGTTCCAAGGACAGAATGGAGAGGCACACAAGTTGGTCTTACAGGTCCAGATGCAAACGGAGAGCCATCATAGTCATTCCAGCCCAGCTTCATAGGTTTCAGTGAGAGTAGCCTTGGTGATCATTTCCAATCCTAGGGGTCTGACAAAATGGACTAGACAGGCTTTTGACCTGTAAAGCCAAAATACACCATCTGTCTTCACTGAGGACCCTCATGCACGTTCTCACTGAACATCCTCCCCTTAACTCCTAATAAGTGTTTCATGTTTATGATATCTAGCACCTGATATTACAACAATGTGCCTATGTCTGTCTCCCCCTGGAGCATCAGCTATTCAAGAACCATAACATGATCACCGGGAAATATCCACACAAACATCACTTCTTCCCAAGCTGATCTAACGATTGGTTACCATTCCAATAAGAAGCCACATAGAATTGTTGAGAAGTTTGACCAATAAATCTCAAAAGTGTATGAAAGACTAAGAACTAAGAATAAACAAGGCTCTCCTAAAGAGGAAAATGAGGACATATGACAAAGCTGAAATAAGGAAGACGGTGTTGTGTGAACACAAAGACAGATAAATTGCCCAATAGGTCAGACGAAGGACCAGGAAAAGAGACAGAGAGAGGAAGAGAGAAGTTGAGAATGGCAGAAAAACAAGTCACTAAGGAAACAAGAAAGTTATCAACAAATGCTGCAGGCACATTGGCTACCTACATAGAAAACAACTGCACTTGCTTCACACCGTACCAAAAAAAAAATCAAATCCTCTAGACTTAATGTAATGTAAAAGGCAAAACTTTAACACATTTGAAGTCCCTAGAGGAAAGCATCTGTACAATCTCAGTGAGGTAAAGGTTTCTTAAACCATACACAAAAGTGCTAACTACAAAAAAAAAAAATCAGCTATATTAAAATTAAGAACCTTTGTTTAACAATAGCATCCATGAAGAAAGTGATCAGAAAAACCACAAACCAGAAGACATTTGCAATATATATAACCAATAAAATCTTCATAAAGGAGTTTTTAAAGTCTCTTCAAAGTCAAATAAATTAATAAGTATAAAACCAAACAAAAATGGGCAAAAGATAGGAACAGGCTGTTCAGAGCAGGGAACTTGAATGGCCTGTAGATATGTGGGAGAACACTCAACTTCATTAGCAATCAGAGAGACATTAACTAATACACTAGTGGGATTCTACTTTTCAGCAATTAGACTGGCAAAAATTAAAAAGTCTGACACTGTCACAGACTTAATCAGCCAGTGGAATTTTTACATGCTGTTGGTAGGAGTCTAAATTGATACAATTATTTTGGAAGAAAGCTGAATATTCATATATTTTATAGTTAACAATTCTACCCTAGAGAAACTCTTGCACTTGTGCACAAGATTTATAGGCGTCTACTTCTAAATACAGTGATGCCTCAGTTCATGAATGCTTCTCTTTGCAAATAATTTGGTTCACGAGCAGAAGCATTAGGCAAATTTTTGTTTCCAAAATTTCGTGAACTCCACATCCACGATGAACAGGACCATGGCACTCTTCCCCATAAGAACATGAACATGGCCACCTTCCCCAGAATTGTGGAATGAATTGAGTTCACCAACCGAGTTACCCCTCTGAAGAAAGTCTTACATGGTATTTATGTATAAGAATGTTCATAGCAGCATTGCTATAACAACTAAAAACAAGACAAAGTGCCCAGAGAAAGAATAAACAGGGCTGGGGATTTAGCTCAGTGGTTCCACCTACTGCCTTGTAAGCGCAAGGACCTGAGCTCGATCCCCCACAACAACAATAAAAAAAAGAATAAACAATTATTTATGACTTGTCAGACATTAAAGTGATATACATATGTGATGATAATGAATTACATGCAGTGCAGATGAATCTCAGAAACAAAATATTGAGTGAAAAATATAAGTGAGGCCAAGGATTTAGCTCAGTGGTTCGGTGGCCTGACTTGCAAGCGCAAAGACCCAAGTTCAATCCCCGGTACCAAAAAAAAAAAAAAAAAAAAAAAAAAAAAAAAAAAAGAAAGAAAAATATAAGTGAAATGAAGACTTTATAGTAAATACCATTTTGATAAAGGGAACAAAATTAAACAATACAGTATTTGATATCATATACATGAATGCTAAATTATTTTTTAAAGCAAGGATTTATAAACGTAAAATTCCGAATACTGGTGTTTCTAGGGGACTGACGCAGTGCTGCCACTGGCCTAAACAGCAGTGTTGATCATGCACCTGGAAAGAAAACTTACAAGTGCTCTTGTTACCAGGCTTCATCGCTTAACTGTGCAATTTTCACATTACTTTGTCCGATCAATTAGTGCATAAAAGTTATAAAGGGGGAAATCGGGTGCCCAGGTTGTTCTCAGAACACATACAAGTTTTTTCCAGCTATTCATGATTCTGCCTGCGCTCACAGACTCACAGCACAGAACATTGGAAGTGAAGCAGGAGCGAGATCATCTACGCCCTTCTCTAATTACAGTAAGTGAGTGAGAAACTGAGACTCAGAAGACTGCTCCACGACCCCTGGCAAAGCCAGGAGCCAAACCCAGTCTTCTGACTCTTCTTCCCTTGGACCAACTCCCCAGCCCAGTCTTCTTTATCTTTGTGACCTGGCACAGGGCCTATCGATCTGTTGGTCCTCAAAATATGTTTGCTTACCGATTATGGAATTCTTATTGGCTTGGTCACAAGGCATTAGTCAATTTTTGTTACTGTCTACCTGAGATAAACAACTTAAAAGAGGAAAGTTTCACTTCGGCTCATGGTCTCACTCCATTTCGACTGGACATTTGGTGAGAAAGAATCTCATGGTCAGGAGCATGTGATGGAACAAAGTGCTCCTTTTGTGGAAGAGAGAGAGAGAGAGAGAGAGAGAGAGGTTGGAACCACTGTCCCACCATATCCTTTCAAGGCGTGCTCCCAGTGGGCCACTTCCTCTAACGAGGCCTCACCTCCTTAAGTTCCCACCACCTACAAAGGACTAAGCGTTCAACACATGAGCCCTTGGAAGACATTCCAAATCCAAACTATAACACAAGGCATCTCCAAAGTGGTAAAAATTTCTGTTTCATAGCTCGGTGGCTTCAGATCAAACAAAGTCTCCAGGAGGCAACAAAGAAGACGCTACCAGCCGTATCATTATCAGGCACTGCCAGAACTCATATGTCTGGGCACATGGGAAGAGAGATCTGTGAGAAGAAAGAGTAGAGAGCCCTGTGGCAACCACTGTGTTCTTTCCAGCTGGCTGAGGCAGGGCAGCCTCGCGTGTCTGGCTTCTGCAAAGGTGCGGAATACAGGGGAAAGGAGCCAAACTCTGTGAATATGTCTTTGTTGTCTCCAAGGCAAGGAGTGGCCAGAATCTGTGGTTAGTGGTGGAATGAGCAATGGCACCACTTCCTCTCCTGTTATAGCTGCATAGTAGGCTGCTGGGCTCACCTTGTGTCTGTAAGTTCCCCGCAAGGCAGTGGTTTCCATCTCCCTTCACTGGCAGCTTCCTTTACCTCAGCTTTCCCGAGTCCCTACTTCCAGTGATTAATTGCTCTCAGCTATCATTAATCTTCACCCTTTAGTTTTTCTAGAACCTTTCTGTCTCTGGGAAGTTGGTCCAGAGGCCAGAGTTGTGGGGAACTTGCAGCACCCCCCTTCCGCAGCTCCTATCTGGATGAATGCACAGCGGTGAATACAGAGCGGTGGAATGGACCCCTGCCCAGTGCTGCTGGAGACGAGTTTCTCGGTGTGGCCTGATTTTCCTGCCTGCAGCTAACAGCAGCCAAGTTCTCTGACTCACTTCAACCATCTCTTGACATTGAGTTGACAGACTTAAGAATTTCAAATCTACCTATCCAGGGACATGATAGATCTCTTCTTTTATGCAAATCTTCTCTTATATTCCTCAATAAAGTTTCTTATTTCTTTCATCAATTCCTATACTTCTCAGTAGCTATATTCCTAGATGTGTTCCACTGGGTGACTGCAGCCAATGATCTAATGGGGCAAGATCATGAGTTGCTTCTGCACTAAGACACTTGCTGTGGAGAGCTCCCAAGATGGCGTCCACCAAGAGAGCTCCATTTGTTTACTGGAAATAGACCACTTCTCC